GAGAGAGTGCTGCCACTTAATGGGTTAAAGCTTTTCTGTAAATGTAAATTTTTTGAACGATAACTATGTAATAGCCGGTACTGTGCTGGGAATGGAACCTGCTGCCCTGTGATTCTGATCAGCTTTTTAACCGTCAAGGGTCCTCAAGCCCTAAGAGTCCATCGCCCTGAGAGTCAATCTGAAAGCTCTACTGTAACCAAGAGTTCATGTATATAATACTAGTGTCATCCTGGGCAGTTTATTTAATACACTACCAATGACACCACCATGGTACACTTATATATACAGCGACTTGTGGTTTAATACCTCTTGGCAAAAGGGCTCTTTAGGTCAGAGGGCTGCGGTAGAATTGCAGGGCTGCAGGTTCAATTCATGCTGACAGGCTTGTAATTGTATTCCACATGTATTCATGATATCATTCTAATCAAAATTTCATTTTAGAACTTCATTAAAAAATATTATAGGGCATATACGAGTATATCATTATATTATGCTACAGCAAATTGTATTTCCTGCTATAATATACCTTACTTGTAGAGATAATAAATTATTTTAATTGACTCCAAAAGTGGAGTAAATAAAAAAGGTACAGAACGACTCCTTTTTTGGAGTAAATTTTACTCCTTTATTTACTCCATTTTTGGAGTAAATTGTACTCCATAAGTAGAGTTGTTTTTACTCCTCAAAGAGTAAAAACAACTCTACTTAAGGAGTAAAATTTACACCAAAAATGGAGTAAATAAAGGAGTAAAAATTAATCCAAAAAAGGAGTCGTTCTGTACCTTTTTTATTTACTCCACTTTTGGAGTCAATTCGACTCCTTTGGAGACAAAATGACTTCTATATATCGGAGTAAAGAAAAGTCTTTAACTAACTTTAGAAATCAATAAAGACATTTTTCGAGTCAAAATAATTTATTATCTCTGCAAGTAAGGTATATTATAGCAGGAAATACAATTTGCTGTACACTGTTAATTTCGAGGAGTCAAATTGACTCCAAAAGTGGAGTAAATAAAAAAGGTACAGAACGACTCCTTTTTTGGAGTAAATTTTACTCCTTTATTTACTCCATTTTTGGTGTAAATTTTACTCCTTAAGTAGAGTTGTTTTTACTCTTTGAGGAGTAAAAACAACTCTACTTATGGAGTACAATTTACTCCAAAAATGGAGTAAATAAAGGAGTAAAATTTACTCCAAAAAAGGAGTCGTTCTGTACCTTTTTTATTTACTCCACTTTTGGAGTCAATTTGACTCCTCGAAATTAACAGTGTACTAGTTAGCCCAGCTTTAATCAAGAAACACGAGATGGTATCCTTGAAGACATTTGCTTTAACTTCAGCTTGACGAACATATTCATCCTTGAACATTTGATATCCTAACTTTTTGTGTTTGTGAGCACGACCAGATTGTTCAGTTCCCAAATGCTTGCTTAATGACTCATAATTAAATGCTGGGAGGCCATTTAAATCCCTTGCCCCCTTTTTAATGTTGGTATTTCAGTGTTATTTACCTCAAGTGAAGTGTTTATAGGTTCAACCTCCCTATTTAATAAATTTGATAAATTATTTACAGTATATATAATATTAACAAATTTTAATATATACCCTAAATATTAATTTTACTATTTATAATTTAACTAAATATTTTTATACCCTATCCACAAATTTATATACATAATCTGAAACGACTTTAAGAAAGCCTAACAAGTTTAATATGTGAATATACCTAAATTTATTTACCTAAAATTATTCTAGAACTCACGAGTAATTTAAAACATTTAACAATGGAGGACACGAACCAAATTGCACTTCAGCTAGAGGACAAACAACAGCAGTAAACCCAGAAAAATCTTTTATCTTTAAATTTTCTTGCTACAATTGAAGGCTGCTTATTTAAATTCAGGGTATTTTTGCGCCAAAACAAAGGTAAAACATTAGATGAAGTGAGGGCACGTCCAATGGCAAATTCGAACACAATCGTGACAAAAGTTGTAAATTTCGCGAAGCTTAAAATGCCATTTCGACACGCGAACATGTAAAACAACTATGAGATCGAATACAAACAACTATCAGAGCATCTTATTTTGAAATAATATTTAGCCGATCGCATATTGAAACGCCAACTCACCTGCTTTAGTTGGGAAGGTTAGATTTTCGCGAGCAAATTTCTGCAAGGCATGTTTACAAGACGTGCCACTCTCAACGTACTTTCTCGCCCGCTAATGGACAGAATATAGCGAAAAGCGCCCTTGTTATGTTCTATAACAAAAAACGTATCGATCGATGCAATAAATAGTTTAAAATCTGCCATATATTCCTCCAAACAAAATCGTCCGCTCCCACGGCAGACATTTCATTTGGAATCAGCCTACAGCCTCTTACCGTCATACTTAGCGGCCCGAAATCTATAATGCGAGTTGTCCATTAACTTGAAAACCGAACTATAATTACTCAACAATTTGTTTAATAAAGTAAAAACAGTTTATCGCAAATAGCAGTTTATAGTTTAATATTAAAATGAACATTTCAAAACATTCCACGAAGCGATTCAGGTTAAACTTTAGATTACAGTCAAACCCGGTGTTCCGTTGGGGGCAACATTGCAATATTATCACGCAATATTGCTATATTGATCGGCTGATTGCTCTAGCAAATGGCAACCGACACGAACAAATTGCAAGTTGAAATTCACAAATTAAGAAAGAGGTAAGCACCAATCCAGTTGCTCAGACTGTTAACGAACGATATTATTATATGAGGTACTTGTTATCATGACCGCTGAAATAACGTAGTTTGAACGTTCTAGTCTATGTTTTTCGACTACAAAAAGTGTGACAATATTTAGGCTATTTCTGTGTTTAAAGACTCGGAATAAAGTGGCGAATTATCTCGTGTAGATATTTTATAGACAGTTCAATTAATCGGGAACAAGTTTGGTCCTTCGACAGCCGGATCTGCTGACAAAAGAACGAGAAATTCGCGACTTTTGTTGTGAATGTGCGAGCAAATATGGCGCTTAGTACGAGTGGACAACAACAAGACTTGCCGGGAGAAGAGACAGACCAAGGTGTTGAAGCTGTAAACAGTATTCAAAATGTTCATCTCGCCGACCACGAAAGTAAAAAAGAAGAAAATACATTGAATATAGAAAGCAAACAAGTGAGTACCAAGATTCCAACTTTACGAAGTAGTAAGAAATCGGCTAAAACCAGGCTGACAAAAGCTAAGAAACAATTGAACGACCTAATTGAAAAACAACTTCCTGGTGTACCATTGCCAAGTAAAAATGCCATAAAAAGAGCTATTAATAAAGTTAATTCCGAGATCAGTATTGAAAAAATTATTTCTGGCTTAAAAGAGATTTATGCTGTGAGTGCTGAAAATGAAGAGACCAACACAGTTATCGAGACTTTAGACAAAGAACTTGAAGACATCGGGTCTTCAGTCAATTCAATAATTGTAATGGCTGAACAACATCTCGAGGAAAGACTTGGCAATGGAGAAACTGACTCAGTGTTAACTTCACTTCGATCACAAGAAACTAGTCCCCAGTCTCCAGTTATGTCGAAAAAATCCTCAAATGTGGAACAAAACCAAAAGAGGCAAAGGAGGCTAGTGAAAGGCTAATCCAAATGGAAGATGAACAGCGAGTAAAAGAGCTAGAGATCCAAAAGCTGGCCGCTGAGCTTCAGCTGACAAAACAGCGAACCGATGAAGGAAAGTTGCTGCTCTCAACAAATCCCGGGCTGAAGAAGACGAACGAAGATCCCAAGTATCGGATAATGATACAGTACAGAACTTCCTTGTTAACCGTCACTTAGAAAAACATTCAGAGTTACCCAATAAAAACAAAGAACAAAGACAGACATTTTCTCCCATTAGACTTAAAGGAGTGGATCTCCCTACCTTCTCTGGCGAACAGAAAAGTGACTATGAATCCTGGAAGGCAGCATTCCTGTCTGTTGTCGATCGTCGTGATATTCCTGTCGGAGAAAAAATGCTTAGACTGCAAGGCTGTTTGTCGGGTAAAGCTTTAACCATGGTGAAAGATCTTGGGTATTCCCTTAATGCGTATGAAAAAGCGAAGGCTAAATTGGACAAAAAGTATGGAGGGGAAAGACGTTTACAAATAAAACACCTAACAGCTTTGCGCAATTTCCGGAAAGTTCGTCCTCGAAATCTGGAAGATATGGAAGAGTTTCAAGTTCTATTAGAAAGAGTATTGATCGCCACTCAGGATTCAGGACCATTGCATGGACAGAGCTTTAATTTAACAGCTAAAGAGAAACTACCAGAAGAAGACGTGCAAGCCTACACATATTGGCTGATCGACCACTCGCGTGAAGACAATTTTGAAGCACTTGGAGAATGGGTTGAATTACGAGTGCAAGTTATGGAAGAGGCGAAAGAAGAAACGAATGGCATTGGGAAAAAGACGGACAACCGTGTTGAACAGAAGAAACGCTTTCGAAGCTTCAATACTAGATTCACCACGCGATGTTGTATTGTTCCCAACTGTAAAGAGAATCACCCCCCGTGGGTTTGTAAAGCTTTCAAAGATCTACCCGTCCTAAAGAGAAAATAATTAATTACCAAGGCTGGACGCTGTTATTGTTGTCTGGCTGCTGGACATCGAAGCAAAGATTGCACCAAAACGAGACAATGTGGTGTTGATGGCTGCCTGAGTAAAGGCCACAGCAGTTACCTTCATGTAAGCCCTCCAAAACACAATGACGACGTGGGAGAACACTTACGACCTGATGCACCGACATACGTCCCCCCCAGGACAATCGAACCAAAATAGAGAGGCTCCTCCTAATTTATTTATTTATTTATTTTTATTAACTAATTCGCCCAAATTACATTATAAAATGAGAAAAAAGGCTACATTCAGAAAGTACCCAAGTCCGAAGTAGAACAGCAGTGGTTCCTCCCACATTTTCCGGTCATTAAGCCAAGCAAAGATACGACTAAAGTTCGTGCTGTCTTCGACGCGGCAAGGAAGCATGACGGAAAGAGCTTAAATGACAGCATACGGCCAGGTCCGAAACTACAACGAGAAATAGTAGATGTTCTCACCCGCTTTCGTCGAGCACCAGTTGCTTTGAGCGCAAACATTCCTGAAATGTTCCTGCAAGTTGGTCTACAAGACAAAGATCGTCCCTTCCACAGATTCTTATGGCGAGATTTCGATCCTTCAAGAGAGCCCGACGTATACGAGTTTCGACGCCTGTTGTTTGGTAATACTGCCTCGCCATTCTGCGCACAGAATGTAATACACGCCCACGCTCAAGCACATACAGAGACATTCCCAGCGGCAGCAGAATCGGTCGATAACTCGATGTATGTTGACGATGTCTTAGATTCAAGCGAGACTATAGAGAGTGCCCAGGATCTGCGACGTCAGTTATCTGACCTGTTGGGTCTGGCAGGTTTCCGGCTGCGGAAATGGTCGTCGAACGAGCCATCAGTTGTCGCAAGCATCCCCGAGAGTGACCGGTTATCTGCTGTTGAAATTAACAAAGAAGAGCCGTCTAAAACCAAGACTCTGGGAATCTTGTGGGATCCTGAAAGAGATGTATTTACCTTCAGAGTGGAACCTCCTGATGCGAATAAAACCCCTACGAAACGTAATGTACTGAGCGCCATAGCTGCTGTATACGACCCCCTTCAGTTTCTCTCGCCATTCCTTGTTCGGGCTAAAATTCTCATGCAGGAGATTTGGAGAGCAGGGTTGGATTGGGATGACAACCTTCCAAGTGATCTAGCAACTAAGTGGAAGAACTGGGCTACAGAACTTTCGCAGTTATCGCATGTCGCCATACCACGCTGCTTACGCCTCGCAAACCCGAATAAAATGGAACTACACCTGTTCTCGGATGCCTCTAAAGACGCCTACGCATCAGTCGCTTATTTGGTGTGCCAATATGAAGACGATAGCCCTACATCACGCCTTGTCGCATCAAAGTGCCGTGTAGCCCCCACCAAAGCGATGACGATTCCCAGACTGGAGCTTATGGGTGCCATTCTCTCAAGCCGTTTAGCTCAAAGTCTTCTGAAAGTCTTGACTGTCGATCGAGTGATATTTTGGACTGACTCCGAGAATGTGTGGTATTGGGTACGAAACCACAGCCGGCAGTTTAAACCCTTCGTAGCCAACCGTATCGCAGAAATTCAACGGACGACGAGTCCCGAGCAATGGAGGCATGTACCTGGGATACAGAATCCAGCAGATCTAGCGACCCGAGGTCAATCTGCTATGGATTTAGCCAAAAGCACATTTTGGTTGGAAGGACCATCGTTCTTGAAAGATGTCGAGATCTCGGGGCCATCAGCGCCTTCCGTTAGAGAGGAGACGAAAGTTGAAGATATTGAAAAGACAGTGGCACAGACGTACATGGTCCAGGCGCGCGTTAACCTGGGTGTTGATCCAAACCATTTTTCTACCTTCCGTCGCCTTTGTCGTGTGACTGGATGGGTTCAACGATTCGTTACAAACTGCAGACTTCCAAGGGAATTACGAAAACGAGACAGAACGCTTTGTTCAACTGAAATACTTAATGTGGAAAAGTGGTGGATCAAACAAGCGCAACGAGAAGCTTTCCCGAAAGGAGAGCGAGAAGGATGTTTACTGCGACTTAGTCCAAAGAACGGTGACGATGGTCTTCTGAGGATGGACGGACGTTTAAGACTTGCGGATGAACTATCCTACAACACAAAACACCCCATTATATTGCCAAAAGAACACGTGGTGACCCGACTCATCATCAAGGATGCACATGAAGAACTCGGACATGGTTCCGGAGTTGAGCAGGTTCTAACACTGCTACGCAGTCGTTTCTGGATCGTAAAAGGAAGACGCGCGGTAAGGAATATCGTTGAGTCATGTGCGCAATGTCGCCGACGTTTTTCTGTAAAAACAGCCGAGCAGAAGATGGCACCGCTGCCCAGACCGCGACTTCAATCGTTACGAGCTTTCGAAAGAGTCGGAGAGGATTATGGAGGCCCATTTCTAACGAAGCAAGGACGAGGCAAAGCCAAAGCAAAGAGATACCTATGCCTATTTACTTGTCTAGCGACAAGGGCGGTTCACCTTGAGATGTCATACTCATTAGACACGGCTTCCTTCATCAATGCCTTTACGCGAATGGTATCGAGGAGGGGGACGCCCGTATATGTTATATCGGACAATGGGACCAATTTCGTGGGCGCAGAGCGGGGGATGAGAGAATTAGTTCAAGCTTTTAACCACGACAAAATTGCCCAAGAAACCACCAAGTATCAACCTATTGAATGGAAATTCAATCCTCCATCGGCCCCTCATTTTGGAGGGATTTTCGAGGCTATGATAAAGAGCGCCAAGAAGGCAATAAAAATCGTCCTAGGAGATGCAGATGTGACGGATGAAGAACTTCAGACCGCAATGTGTGGAGCTGAAAGACTGGTAAACTCACGGCCCATCACTTATGTGAATTCAGATCCAAACGACCCGTCCCCACTTACTCCAAATCATTTTATAGTCGGACAGATCGGTGGGGTATTTGCTCCTGAAGCTCTTGATCAAGTTGAAGCGAACAACCCTAGGAATCGCTGGCATCGAGTACAACAATTGTTACAGCTGTTCTGGAAGCGCTGGAGAAAGGAGTTCCTTCCCCGTCTTAATGTAAGCAAGAAATGGTTTCATCCCAAACATAACCTGAAACAAGGCGATGTGGTATTGATTGCTGAACCCAAAGCAAGTAGGGGAGAATGGCCTCTTGCCCGTGTGATCGAAGCGTATCAAGGAAGTGCCGGCCTAGTCCGAGTTGTAAAGGTGAAATCCAGGAACAAAGAATATTTCCGTCCTATACATCGATTGTGTCGTCTCGAGTATGTTGACGAACATTCGGACAATGAAGATAGATAACTGAAACGTTATATAGAAGTGAACATAAAGGACGTTAATTAAGTCGTATTTGTTAGTATTCATTGACATTGCTAATCCCTCTATTTATTGTCTTTAAGTGGAATCGAATGCGTTGCATTCGGGAGGGGGATGTTAACGAACGATATTATTATACGAAGTACTTGTTATCATGACCGCTGAAATAGTCGCGCGGGCGACAAAACGTTTTTTGAACGTTCTAGTTTATATTTTTTGACTACAAAAAGACGATATTTAGGCTATTTTTGTGTTTAAAGACTCGGAATAAAGTGGCGAATTATCTCGTGTAGACATTTTATAGACAGTTCAATTAATCGGGAACAATCCGCATAACCTGTCAGTGGATAGATGATTGATAAAACACGCTTTTGAACCCGTTCCAGGGCATTAGATAAGTAGGAAGGAAGGGCGAAGTGGAAAACTTGACAGCTGAATTCCATGACTGGTCTGACGCAGGTAGTGTAAAAATGTATTATGTCAGCTTCAGGTACATGAGCACGTTTCAACTGAATAATAAAATAAATCCGTTTGTTCGCCTTCTTAACTATGTTAGTTATGTGTTGGTTCCATTTTAGATCTTTAGAAATTGTCAAACCTAGGATTCTTGCGTGGTTCACTGTCTCGATTTGGCCTGAGATGATCTTAAGGCGCGGAAATTCTTTCTCAGGTTTTGTAAAACTGATAACAAGTTCCTTGCACTTGGAGGCATTTAATTGCATCTTGTTTTCTACAGACCAATTTTGAACACAATCGACTGTATCTTGAATTTTACTGGGTGTGTTGATATAAATGATTTCAGATACCGTAGCATCATCGATGTATTTCCATCGCTCATGATGTGGGGGGCGTAGGTCATTTATCATTAGGATGAATAACCAAGGTCCCAATTTGGTTCCTTGAGGGACACCGGAAGGAATGTCAATCCATTCAGACATACAGTCTCTTGCAAGTTTCACCCGTTGTTGCCTGTTCATCAGAAAGTCAATTACCCACCGCTTAATGAAATTTGGCATTGGCAATTGGATGATTTTCGTGGCTAAGATCTTATGATCAATCAAGTCGAAGGCTTTCTTATAGTCAAAAAGAACCACTCTTACAGCGTTTCCAGTTCCATCTGTGGCTTGAGTCCACGCATGAACCATAGAAATTAAGGCTTTTGTAGCAGATGATCGAGGGATGCCACCAAATTGAAAAGGATCAATTGACGACAACACTGCTGGAGCGATATATTTTTCAACAACAAACTCTTCTGCAAGTTTAGACAGAACCGGAGTTAACGAAATAGGTCGGAGCTGTTTGCTTATGTCTTTAACAGGTTTCTCTTTCGGAATAGGTGTAATGTTAGCTTGTTTCCAGCATGAGGGCAGTCTTTTTTGCTTGTAGGACGAATTCAATAAGTCCGATACAGAGGGAGCAAGGATTTCGGCATAATCACGAAGAATCCAATTGGGGATATCATCAGGGCCCGGAGCTTTATGCGGGTTCAAGCTTTTCAGTTTTTTCAAGACCGATGCAGTATTTGTCAAATTCATGTTTACATCTAACGGATAATCAGGAATCTCCTCAAACAAGGTGTTCAAATCTGTGACATTTAAGGGATCATAAGTATTCATTGGTTCTATTAGGCTTTTGTTAATTAAATCTGCAAAACCTTTGTGTGTTAAATGTTCTGTATCTTCGACATGAAGTTGGTTAAGCAAACTGCCAGATACAGGTCTCATACCGGAGATACGTTTAACCTCTGTCCACCAAGATTTGGGGTTAGACTTTTTCAGATTAGCAACTTTTGAAGCAAAATAGTCTGCCCGGCAAGATTTTCTCATTCTATTCACTTTATTTCGGTAGAATTTGAAAAGAGTAGTGTTATTAGATGAAAACGCACGTTGTCGAAACTTGATCAGCTGTTTCAATTTTTCGGTTATCCATGGGTTGTCGTTGCGATGGAATTTAACGTGTTTCTCAGGCATAAGGATGTCATAACCCGTCATTATTGCGGAGCATAAGATATCACAATTTTTATCGCACGGTTCGGAGGAATCGATAAGTTGCCAGTCAAAGTTACTCAGATATCGACCAAGTTCTTTTTTGCGTGATTGACGAATGTCTCTTTTTATTACTGTCTTTCTACTTGTGGTTTCTGATGATGTTTTAACTTTGGGCTCAACCATTATTACATTATGGTCTGATAATCCGAAAGGAGGGAACACCATGGCTGGTTGTACATCGTAAAATTTATGCATGTTTGTAAGTATAAGATCCAAAATCTTGGCACCACGAGTTGGTTTATCAACCAATTGTTTTAACTGAAAATCTCGGCAAAGACCTTTAGTGTCAAAGTGGTTAAAATCACCAGCAATAATAATTCCACAACCTGGAAAAAGACTTTCCAGTAGTGTCAGTGAGTCTGATAGGTATTGAAAAAGATCTGTATTGCTGGAACTTGGAGGATGGTAGACGCACGCAGAAACAATGCCGTTAATTCCCCTTGGTAATCTTGGTGGTCTAATGTGTGTCCATATATATGTGTAAAATAATTTAACTTTTAGATTATTGCGATTTCTTTTTGTATTGTTAGAATATCAATATAGTCGTCTTTCTTTTCTAATATTTGAAGTAACTTTCTATGTAAAACTTTTTTAAAGTGATTCTTTGGTTTTTCACGTAGTTCTATAGGAATGCTATTCCAAATTCTACCTCCCATTCTTGAGAATGATTTGCTTTGCACGTCTAAACCTGAATATTCAACGTGGAAGTTCTTCCTAGTGGAAGATCTGGTGTTGTGTTCGTGTACCTGACTTAATGGGGTAAACAAAGCCAAAATATTTGGGGGTACTACTGTTCTTGATACGTCATGCATTAGTATTGATACTGATTTGTAATAAAGCAAATTTATTGGCAGAACATTACCTGACTGAAAATAAGGAATGGCATGAGAAAGATAGTGTGCAGAATATATTAAACGAAGAGCGCGTTTTTGGAGTTTAAGGATTTTATCAATGTAGCATTTGGCAGCACATCCTCATACAACGATACCATAAGTTAGGTAAGGCAGCATAAGGGACTTATAGATACTTATTAGAGTACTAACTGGTAAAAAATGACGCAGCCTAGCAATTATGCCAATTCGTTTGCTAAGATTAGAGGCGATGTACCCAATATGAAATTTCCATGAAAGATTTGAGTCCATGAGAACACCGAGGTATTTAATGTGATTTTTAGTTGCTAGTGAAACGAAAGTATTGGACTCAATGGACTGTGCATCATACATCTTCAAATCTACTGCATAATCCAGCCGTTTTTGGTGAGAATGAAAAATACTGAAATTAGATTTTTTATGTTTAGGGATAATTTATTAGCTGTTAACCAGTTATAGATATTAAGAAGTTCAGTATTGACAATATTTTCTAGTGTTTTTAAATTCTTGTCAGCATATAGTAAATTGGTGTCATCTGCAAATAAGGAAAACGTCAGTTTATCAGAGGAGTTATAGATATCATTTATATAAATTAAAAATAGTAGCGGTCCCAGGACAGATCCCTGAGGAACGCCAGAAAGAGTTTCTTCTTGTTCAGATATATTTACGCCCATTTGAATAGTTTGGATACGACCTAACAAATAAGAGGAAAACCAATCGTTTATAATGCCTCTTATTCCATAATGATGCAATTTTTCTAAAAGTATTGAGTAGTTTACAGTGTCAAATGTCTTTTGCAAATCAATAAAAATACCACAAGTGAACAATTTACGAGACATGTTAGATTGGATTGGATTTTCTATATCTAAAATTGCATGCTGAGTTGAATATTTTTCCCGAAAACCATACTGAGATTTAAATATGATATTTTGTTTCTCAAGAAAAGATTTTAAACGATTATACATCAATTTTTCAAAAATTTTGTTAAAAACTGATAAAAGAGATATTGGTCTATAATTAGAAGATCGGTTTCATCGTCCTTTTTGTAAATAGGGATAACTTTTGAGTGTTTTACTTTAGCTGGATATTGGCCGCATTCAACCGATTTATTCATTAAATCAGATAAAGGATTGGATAAAACGTGTCTAGGGCATTTTAGAATACGAGTTGGGCATGAGTATAGGCCATGTGCCTTTTTCATTGGAATTAACATAATTTCTATTTCGATCTCGTGCGGCATGATAGGATTAAATTGAAACGATCCTCGGTTATTTATCTTTGGAAGATAATTTGTGAATGGAATTTGTGAATTTGGCATATTACTAGCTAAATTGTGACCCACTGATGAAAAATATTTATTGAATATATTTGGAAACTTACTTTCGTCATATATCATTCTGTTGCTTATGGGACATTTTAAAGACGGGATAGGTTTAGTTGACTGTTTCTTCCGATTAATTAATTCGTTTATACCTTCCCAGGTCTTTTTAGTGTTTGCAAAGTTGTACTCAAAATATCTATGATAATATTCCTTTTTACTCTGACGAGTGAGTGTCAAAATTTTGTTTCTATAGAATTTATATTTATCCTTATCACCGCGATTATATAACCTATTCTCAATTTTAATTGATTTCCTGATACCTTTAGTTATCCATGGTTTTGTTAACTGCTTTGCTTTACGCTTTGAAATTTCCTTAAGGGGAGCGTGCTTTTTGATAACTGTATTTAACTTATTGTAAAGTGTTGAAAACGATTTATTTATATCATTTTCGCTCAAATCAACAACATGATTCAAACCAGTACGGGAAGAGATAATCTAATTGGCGCGGCATGCGAGTAGCGACTCAATAGCGCGAGGCGCGACTCGAAAGCGCGAGGCGCGACTAAATTGGCGCGACTCGTGGAAAAAGGCGCGAGTCGTGAAAAAAGGCGCGACTCGTTAAAAAAGGCGCGACTCGCCAAAAAGGTTAAGCAGGTTAACTTTTATTTTAATTTAGTTTAACCTCGGTTTTTCGCTCCAGATTTGTATCGTATTTTTATACCAGTATACTTTAATCGGTTGTTGGCATAACTCTGGTCATAAAATTAATCCCAAGAAAGCTTGGAAAAGAATAAACAACTTGTTAGGTAGGCAAAACAAACCAACAGTGGTAAATGAACTAAATGTAGGTGAACAAAATTTGACAAGTCCTGAAGATATTGCGGAGGGCTTTAATGAATATTTTTCAAATATTGGCCCAGATCTAGCTAGAAAAATAGATTATTCAAATTCCAATTTTGAAACCTATGTCCAAAATGCTCAATCAGAATTTGCGGCTTTCCAACCTGTTACTGTCAGTCATGTCTCTCATCTTTTGCATGGACTTTCCAACAATAAAGCCACTGGCATCGATAAAATCTCTTCCAAAATTATTAAATTAGCTGCACCTGTTATCTCAGATTCACTGACACTTATTTTCAATCAGGCTATTACTTTATCTTCTTTTCCTGATGAATGGAAGGCTGCTAGAGTGATGCCCCTATATAAAAATGGCCAGCGTAGTATTCCTGGAAACTACAGACCAATATCAGTTTTACCGGCCATTAGTAAAATTATGGAACGGATATTGTATGATCAACTGTATAACTATTTAACAAAATTTGAGCTTCTCAGTGATTCCCAATTTGGATTTCGAAAATTTCACTCTACAGCTAATGCATTACTAGACTGTAGACAAACCGAAACCAGAAGTGCCAAATAAAAAACTCACTTTCATCT